TAATTATATTAAAGGAACAAAAGCTCTACTAAGCTTTTCTTTCCTATTCATGCAATTCTCTGAAACAATTGTGATAAAGAGAAAATTAAAAGTTGGACATTGGGGATTGTAGCATATAAGTTTGTTTCTGCTTACATAAAAAAGATCTGCCCCCTTCAAGATTTCTTAGAGGGTTGAGTGGGCATTTGAATCCTATGCCTAGTGGTGTCTAGATGTAATCCTTACATTTTTATTTTCTTGTATAGAAAACTATAATGAAGTATTTAGTTGTGCCTTGCCCTATTTGTAATTGTGGATTTTTATTGTGTAATTTCTGTATATGCAGGTCCTGTAATTTTAATTAAAAACCCTTTATTCACAATGTGAGCAGGGGGCATATATATTCTACATACATACACTTATTATAAGTCCATGGAGGGCTGCACACTGGATCCTCTATTTAGAAGCCGTCATTTTCTGAGAGGGTTGTCCTGCATTCCAGTGGTGGACCCGAAAGGGCAGCACTGAGGTCTGCAATCTGGTCGTGGAAGAATCTTTGGCCATGATAGCACACTTGGTGGATAGGTTCCAACTCCCAAGGTCTGTTTTTTTTTTTTTTAATTATTATTTTTTAAATTCTTTATTTGTAGCGTGCAGGCTAGAGTATACATAGATAATAACAACCGGCCATAGCCGTCACGTTAGCATGCATCAATAAGCAGTTACAAAGTTTGATGATGGGTACAGATAAATAGGCTTGCACAAGAGTACTTCTCTGTGGTCCAAGACTGCTCAGTTACCTGGTGTGGAAAGTGACTCGTACTGTTGTGCTTCATTATATCCTCGTCCTGCGGTGGCTCGGTAAAGACTCTGCACTTTTTATTATGATCTGCCTGTATATGCCTGAACCTGGGGGGTCTTTTGCCCCATTACCCCCTTCTCCATTAACCTCATCCTGTAGGTGATCTCAGTCAACATGTCCTAAGCCTCAAGCTACGCTTTGGGTTGTCGCCCCAAGCATCGATAATGGGAGTATCCAGTAGACATGTGCAATTTGTTTCGGTCCGAATGTGAATTCGGACATTCAGAAACTTCCGAATGTCCGAATAGATGAATTGCCGAATTTCCAAATTGTCGAAGTTCCGAAATTACCGAATTTCTGAAGTGGTGGAGTGCCGAAGTTCCGAAGCACAGTATTGCCTAAGAACTAATATACTTACACAGTGGAAGAATGTTTCACTGTATACAATTTTAAATAAAAAGTATACAAACATAGCCAGGTTTCAGCTGTAAGCATTTGCAACACTTACAACAATCAAGTAACATACATTCATATAAAATGTAAGTTACTTAGCCAGTCAATGTAATGACAGGTTCAAACACAGCGAGAAGAATTGGTGGATTGGCGCTTCACACCATCAAGTAAGCAACAACCCCCTGTTCACAAAATCACTCAAATGGCACTCAAATACAAAGTGAAAGAAAAAGAATATAGGGGGGTGCAAATGACATACAATACTTCACTGTATATTTACTGTAGTGAGTGGATCACCTCCTGATTATCCTATACCAAAAACCGTAAAAACACATACGTAGTATAATACTGTTATACAAAGTAGGAATAATCAATTCAAAGGTATTGGGTCACTCACAGACACAGAGTCACATAGAGCTGGCTCTGGCTTCAATGGCAGGTGAATAATAAGCTTATTCCAGCTTTCTCAACCAGGATAACTCCTTTCTGGTCCTTCAAATGATTTTCAGGATATCCAATAAGTTAAAACATATAAACTTTACTGAATATAAAATAACATACAAATAAAGATAAATTAAAATACTATATAGTGAAAAAGTCCACAGCACTAACGCGTTTCGACCTCCAGGTCTTTGTCAAAGTGTGTGGTCCATGATGATCTTCCTCTCTTTAAATACCCTGAGTGTTCAATTTGCCGCCGTTTACCAGCGTCTATCTTTTCCCGCACTTCCGCGTCACGTGACTCTGACGCAGCCCCACTTCCGCGTCACGTAACTTTCAGTCCGATCACGTGACTCTGACGCCATGTATACCGGTGTCACTTCTGGTTTTCGGTCGTCTTAATCAGCTGGTTTACAAGTGCTGATGTCACTTCCAGGCTCTCAGTGTTCCCTACACATAAATAGCAGAAGCACTACCGCCATATTTAAAATGGGAAAAAAACATTTTAATATACAATCACACTTATAATGTGGCTATCGTAAAAATAATATAATATAATACATTAGTACATATATTATCAAGTTTAATATATTCATTTGTAAAAGACATTTACCCAAAAATAGTTACTTTAAACTATATGATGTTTTTCAGACATATATAATATGAGGAGGAGAGTATTCTTAAAATGGAATCTATTTGTACCAAAACTTAAATAGATAGTTTATTTAACTGAAAAATTACATTATAAATATAAATAAAACATATAAAAATAAACTTTAGTATAAAAGTCATTATAAAAATACAATAGCAGACACATTCCAGCCAATCAGCAGCAGACCCTCCCTCCCAGACCCTCCAACCTCCTGGACAGCTCACTAAGAATGCAGTTTCACAATGAATGTAAAATGGATGCTGTCCAGAAGGTGGGAGGGTCTGGGAAGGAGGGTCTGCTGCTGATTGGCTGGAATGTGTCTGCTGACTGTGAGGTACAGGGTCAAAGTTTACTCAATGATGACATAGGGGGCGGACCGAACAGCGCATATGTTCGCCATCCGTGGCGAACCATTCGGGACATCACTATTTACCAATATATTGTAGCCCACAAGGACATGTGAGTAAATAAATCACATTTTTGGATTCACAAGAGATAAATGAGTCAATGTTGTATATACCCATCCTAGATTAAAATTTTTCTACTTTTCTATTCAAATATTTATAATTTTTACAACCCATACAACCACCACAATGGAAAAATCCTTTTGTATTATGTTTAAATGATTCTAAAAAGTTAGTATTAGGAACATCTATATAACTAGAAGTAAGTATATTTTTTTGATTTTTTTGCTCCCCTAAATACAACTTTTGGTTTATTCTCCAAAAATGGTTGGATCTCTTGATCCTGTTGAAGGATATGCCATTTTTTATTTAAAATCCTTTGTTTCTGGTCCTTATTATAATTAAAAATAAGTGGTATAGTTTTTTCTTCATCTGTTTTTGCTTTTTTCGGTTTATATATAAGGAGGGTATTTCTATCTAACCTTTTAATTTTATTTATTTCACTATTTAAGTGTTCCAACCTATATCCTCGATTCAAAAATTGATTTTTGAGGATATCTGCCTGACTATTAAAAGATTCTGGGTCAGTGCAGTTCCGTTTCAATCTTAGAAATTGTCCTCTTGGAATATTCTCCAACCATGGTTGACGATGACAACTTTCTGTATGAATATAGCTATTCACATCTACTTTTTTGAAAAATGTTTTTGTTTTAATTTTATTATTTTCTATATAAATTTCTAAGTCTAAAAAATTAATTTTTTCTTTACTAATCTCCTGTGTTAATTGAATATTCCACTGATTATTTAGAAAACTTAAAAAAGATAAAACCTGTGCCTCATCTCCTTTCCAAATAAAAAAAGATATCGTCTATATATCTTTTATAAAGGACCAGGCTCGCACACCTGTCATGTGGAGAGAAAACAAACTTATTTTCCCAATATGCCATAAAAAGATTTGCATAGTTGGGTGTGAACCTGGTCCCCATAGCAGTACCTCTACACTGTAGGTAATATTCTCCCTCAAACCAAAAAAAGTTATTCTGGAGGATAAATAACATCCCTTCCATAATAAAATCCACCTGGTCCGTGGGATACAGTGCAGAGGTCTCTAAAAAATAACGTGCGGCCTCACAGCCCAACAAATGGTTAATGCAGGTATATAGGCTCATGACGTTGCATGTAACTAAAATAAAATCATCTTCCCATTTAAAATCATTAAGTAATTGTAGCAGGCTCATTGAATCTTTAAGATATGAGGCATTAGTTTTAACAGTAGGTTGAAGATGAGTGTCTACATATTTAGATAAATTAGATAATAATGATCCTATCCCAGAGACAATAGGTCTTCCTGGGGGATCGTGCACATTCTTATGTAATTTAGGTAATATGTAGATAACTGGTATGTGAGGCGAATTTATATTTAAAAATATGAACAGCGGGTGGGGGCCCTACAGTAAAATAAGAGGGGGTGTGAAGAAACCCCCTGTTTCCTATGTTATTTACCCATTGCATTCCCTTTTTATCTTCCTTTCTGCCTATTGCATTCGGTAGATGGAACTACTGAACAAAGACCACCCCTCTGGCTCATTAAACATCAAAGTTTGGGTGAAATTGCTACCTCTGTATGTGCGGCCAGCGTTCGTCAGTCGAACGCCACGTGGAAGAGAAAACCGCGGCCATCTTTGTTCATACGAACAAAGGCATCGGGATTTGGTCGTCGAGTGCATGGAACTAAAAACGGACACTCGACTTCCCGAACACCGGTCCCAAACAGACGAGTACGCTGGAACTCCATTTACCGAATAGCCAGAAGAGCGCTATTCGGTACTTGGGTGTATTCGACAGAGGGGCACGAACGCTGCTAGGAGCCAGAGGGATCCATTCGGTATTTTTATTCGTTTTTATGCTTTTTCGAAAGTGACCGGCAAAACCCACCAAATTCATGGAACTGTTTTGGGCATGCAGCCCATGGTGCGCCGGTCACATGGGACTTCCATAGATTTTGCGAACCCCTGAACCGATCTGGGTGAAATTCGAATATGTTGGCCCCCACAAATCAGGTCTATCAGGGGACATATAATTTATGGGGATAACCCCAGTATAAAGGGGTGTTCTGAATGTTGGGGAAAAAAGTGATTTTTCAGCCCGGAGATAATTAAGTTACTATTTTATCAGACTGAATTATCTCCTGGGCTAGGGGAGGGAATTGTAGGTGTGTGTTAAAGTTTTACTGTATACGATTGGTTAATATTTGTCCCTGCCTGAGGGCTGTCCCCTTGCATGGGGACTTGCATAAAAGCTGTGTGCACCCATTAAAGAACAGTCCATTTTGTACCCTTCTTCTTGACTTCGGCTGATGTTTGGGGATTCGTGTGTTTCACTAAGGGAATTATTTGGTGAAGCTATTGGAATTACTATAGGATTCGTCTACCTTATCTACCGAACGGAGGGCTATAATCACTAAGGCACTGGCGGTTCGGGAGGAAACTACCGAATGAGGTTTAAATATACTTGGTTTCCTTACAGGGGGGACCTATTGTCCTCCCCCCGACCCCCACCCATGAGCAGCGGGTGGGGGCCCTAAATACTAATAAGGGGGGGACCTAATGTCCTCCCTCCTGGCCCCCACCCCAGAGCGGTGGGTGGGGGCCCTAAATTAGAATAAGGGGGGGACCTAATGTCCTCCCTGCTGGCCCCCACCCCTGAGGGATGGGTGGGGACCCTAAATACTAATAAGGGGGGGACCTAATGGCCTCCACCCCTGAGCGGTAGGTGGGGGCCCTAAATTAGAATAAGGGGGGACCTAATGTCCTCCCTCTGGCCCCCACCCCTGAGCAGTGGGTGGGGGCCCTAGGTGCTAATAAGGGGGGGACCCCCTGGTCCTCACCCCTGAGCGGTGGGTGGGGACCCTAAATACTAATAAGGGGGGGGCCTAATGTCATCCCCCCTGGCTCCCACCCCTGAATGGTGGGTGGGGGCCCTAAATTAGAATAAGGGAGGGACCTAATGTCCTCTCCCCCTGGCCCTTACCCCTGAGCGGTGGCCCTAAATACTAATAAGGGGGGGGACCTATTGTCCTCCCCCCTGACCCCCACCCCGGAGTGGTGAGTGGAGGCCCTAAATAAAAAATTACCCCCCCCCTACCCCAGGTGACTACGGGTCCCCAAACCCCTAGTCACCACCTCCCAAAAAAAACTAACCCCTACCTACCCGCTCACCCTAAAAATAATGAGGGGGGGGGGCATTAACTAAGTACCTGTAAAAAAAAAAAAAACCTTACCATTTGATTTTTTTTTCTTCTAAAATCTTTTTTCAGCCCCAAAAAAGACCAAATAAAAAATCCATAATAACCGACGCACAAATAAAATAATCCTTCTTCGCCCATGGAGGGCACCGCGCAGAATGAGCTCTGCAGGGCGGGGGAAGACTTATGAAGGCTTGCCCCGCCCTGCAATTAGTCTCAGAGCACTCTGATTGGTGGGTTAAAGCCATCCAATCAGAGTGCTCTGACAGGTAACTGAAGAGACTGACAAGTAAGTCTCTACATTTACCTGTCACAGCACGCTGATTGGTTGGCTTGAAATCCACCAATCAGAGTGCTCAGTGTCATTTTACACAGCGTGGGAAAGTTCTTTGGAATTTTCCCACGCTGTGTAATTTGACTCATAGGTCCCCCCCCCCAATTGGTATTTAGGGCCCCACCCACCGCTCAGGGGTGGGCACCAGGAGGGAGGACATTAGGTTCCCCCCCATTATTTTACTTTAGGGCCCCCACCCGCCGCTCAGGGGTGGGGGCCAATTTTTAAACAGGCTGCTCACTGTTTAATAGACATGCCCCCACTCGCGGTATAGCGAGTAGGGGAAAAATTTACTAATACTAAGTAAATTTTACTTAGTATTAGTAAATTTGTCTGAAAGACCAATTTAGGTCTTTCAGCCTTTTGGTAGATAACTCCCTAATACCGTGGGAATTAGGGAGTTATCTACTTAGCGGCTGCAAGAGAAGTCCCGAAATGCCGAAGTTCCGAAATTCAAAAGTGCCGAACCGAACCAAAGTCCCGAATTGCGGAAGTCCCTATAACGTCTTTTTCCCGGCAAGATGCTGTGCAGTAATGGAGTGGCCTTCTTTCTATCAGCTGGATCCAAGTAGAGAGAGAGTTAGAGCTCTTAAAAGAGCTAGTGATTAGCTGAGCAGGTTCCCTTACAATAACGAGACAAAGCTACGTTTTGAAGGGTAAAGTAGAACTGACTGTACTGGCACATACAGCCTCTTTTATTCACATTCTACAAACATAGTACTGCCCACAGGGTTTTGAAGAACAACCAATCAACACATTACAACACAGCTAACACTCCCATTCATTACATCAGAAATCCTTCCCTCTGCCTGTGATACAATTATCTCAACACAATAGCCTAACTTAATTATCACAGGCAGGAAAATACAGTATTATAAAACATATCCCAGGGACCCCAAAACATGCAATAACCCCATAAAAATATATCCTCGGAACCGGGTGAACTGGGTGAACCACATATCCAAAATTTACCCAGATCCGTTCAGTAGTTTGGAAGATACGGTTTAATGCAGATTCCGCAGAACATATACAGGCTATATGAAAAATAATTACTGTTAAATGTGTCCCCTGTTCTGTAGTTTAAAACTACTGAACGATGTCTTTGTGCACCAAATACCGGCGAGATGGCACCGTGTAGAAAAGTCAAAACAGTGTCTGTGAGTTAAAATGGCCGCCATCCATTGTTCTCACCATGTACTTCATCCATTGTTCTCACCATGTGCCTCTGATACATGAAATGGTGGCCACCCAGTAACTCCACAGTTTGTCTGGTAGTCTATCCAGCCAAACCAACAGATGAAACACATGGGGAACAGTGCAACAAAGGGAATCATAAAAAATATGGACAATAGTCATATTTGTGTACAATCTCCAGTTTTGTTACAGGGCACAAAACAGTTAAAGGGCCAGACACAGTCTTTGTTCTTAGGTACAGGTAATGTGGATGAGGGCAAAAAACAAACAAAGGGTAGAGGTTCCCAGGCAACATGGTAGGGGTTTGTTACAGTCCCAAATTTCGGAATGCCAAACTGAACCGAAAATTTTCCCCATGCACATGCCTAGTATCCAGGTACATCATTATCTGGTTAGGAGAACGTGCCCTTCTGAGGTAGGTCATGAAATAGATGGTAGAAAACAGTCGGAAAAAGTGTCAGAAAAACTAGAGGGGAGGTAGAGGCGAAGGCCCCCAGAGGAGGCCCAGGAGGGCCCGCGGCGGCAGAGAGAGGCCGAGGAAGGCCACGGGGGGGGGGGGCGTTTCTTTAATTCTATTAGTCACGCTTGCTATGTGCTGTAACTCTTGTTTGAGCCAAGTATATGCCACTGCCCTTCATGCGACCAGCATTATTTTGTGCAATAATTTTTGTTCCCTTCTAGTCCAGCCCTCTATTAAGCAAGTACACCCATGGGTCCAGTTCTGGCGCTCTAGAGAACACTTGGGCCAATATGTCTTTTATACGTTTCCAATATGTGTGTATGAACGGGCAAGCCCCACCACATGTGAATGTACGTCCCCCTGTCTCTGCATCCTCTCCAGCAGTCTCCGCATCCTCTCCAGCAGTATTAGTCTTGTGCATTTTAAAAAGCTTTACCGGGGTCCTATACCACCTGAACATGGTCTTTAGTGATTGTTCTTGTAGGGTGACGCAGACTGAAGATGTGTTGCTAGCTACCCAGATCTCCTTCCATTCTAGCCCCTCTAATGTCTCCCCCAGGTCCCTTTCCCATTGCTCTGTGTACATCAGGTTGCCCCACTCTCCTGTCTCTGTGCATATGTGTGTGTACAGGCTTCCTATGAGTCCCTTAGGAGTTGTGTCATCTGCACAGATCTGTTCAAAGAACGTCAACTGTCTGGTCGCTGCCTCTTTAATATTCGGTCTCTTTGCAAGTCCCTGACCTGTGTACCGAAAGTAGTCGGCTGGCGTAAGGTGGCGCCCCTGTCGATGAGATTGAAATGTGACAAATTCCGAATCATGATACAAATGATAAAGTCTCTGTATTCCTTCCCGTTCTAGGTTCCGGAAGTTTTTTGCGGACATTCCTGGGAGTAATGCCCTGTTTCGCAGGAAGGGCCAAGGTCCGTTTTTTAATTTTTCTTTCTTCAGGCCAATCAGCTTCTCCACCTGATTTACCCAGAGAGGGAATCTACTTT